ATGTTCTCATGATGTTCTGAAACCCTCTAACCTGTTTTAGGTTTCCTTCTATATGTTCTCATGATGTTCTGAAACCCTCTAACCTGTTTTAGGTTTCCTTCTATATGTTCTCATGATGTTCTGAAACCCTCTAACCTGTTTTTGGTTTCTTTCTATATGTTCTCATGATGTTCTGAAACCCTCTAACCTGTTTTAGGTTTCCTTCTATATGTTCTCATGATGTTCTGAAACCCTCCAATCTGTTTTAGGTTTCCTTCTATATGTTCTCATGATGTTCTGAAACCCTCTGACCTGTTTTAGGTTTCCTTCTATATGTTCTCATGATGTTCTCATGATGTTCTCATGATGTTCTCATGATGTTCTGAAACCCTCCAATCTGTTTTAGATTTCCTTCTATATGTTCTCATGATGTTCTGAAACCCTCCAATCTGTTTTAGGTTTCCTTCTGTATGTTCTCCTGATGTTCTGAAACCTTCTTATCTGTTTTGGGCGTTCTTCTTTATGTTCTCCTGATGTTCTAAGACCCTCTAACCTGTTTTCTTCCTTTTTCTAGCACTCGCAGGTTCCCTGTCAGGCTACATCCTTCTATATGTTCTTGACGTTCTGAAACCCTCCAACTGTTTTAGGTTTCCTTCTATATGTTCTCATGATGTTCTCATGATGTTCTGAAACCTTCAAATCTTTTTCTTTTCCTTCTATATGTTCTCATGATCTTCTGAAACCTTCTAACTGTTTTAGGTTTCCTTTTATATGTTCTCATGATGTTCTCCTGATGTTCTTAACCCTCCAATCTGTTTTCTTCTCTCCTCTAGAACTCACAGGTTCCCTGTCAGGCTACATCTGATATGTTCTATATGTTCTCATGATGTTCTCCTGATGTTCTGAATCCCATTAGGTTTCCCTCTATATGTTCTCATGATGTTCTCATGATGTTCTCCTGACGTTCTAAAACCCTCTAACTGTTTTTTTCTCTCTGCTAGAACTCACAGGTTCCCTGTCAGGCTGCATCCTTCTATATGTTCTCATGATGTTCTTGTGATGTTCAGAAACCTTCTAACCTGTATTTTCTCTCTCCTAGCACTCACAGGTTCCCTGTCAGGCTGCATCCTTCTATATGTTCTCATGGTGTTCTCCTGATGTTCTCCTGACGTTCTAAAACCCTCTAACCCGTTTTATTTCTCTCTCCTAGAACTCACAGGTTCCCTGTCAGGCTGCATATTTCCATATGTTCTCCTGATGTTCTCATGATGTTCTCATGATGTTCTCATGATCTTCTGAAACCCTCAAATCTTTTTCTTTTCTTTCTATATGTCCTCATGATGTTCTCATGATGTTCTCATGATGTTCTCATGATGTTCTCATGATGTTCTCCTGATGTTCTCCTGACGTTCTAAGACCCTCTAACCCGTTTTCTTCTCTCTCCTAGCACTCACAGGTTCCCTGTCAGGCTACATCCTTCTATATGTTCTCATGATGTTCTCATGATGTTCTTGTGATGTTCAGAAACCTTCTAACTGTTTTAGGTTTCTTTCTATATGTTCTCCTGATGTTCTCCTGATGTTCTAAGACCGTCTAACCTGTTTTCTTCTCTGTTCTAGCACTCAAAGATTCCCTGTCAGGCTACACCCTTCTATATGTTCTCATGATGTTCTCATGATGTTCTCATGATGTTCTCATGTTCTCATGATCTTCTGAAACCCTCAAATCTTTTTCTTTTCTTTCTATATGTTCTCATGATGTTCTCATGATGTTCTCATGATGTTCTCATGATGTTCTCATGATGTTCTCCTGATGTTCTAAGACCCTCTAACCTGTATTTTCTCTCTCCTAGCACTCACAGGTTCCCTGTCAGGCTACATCCTTCTATATGTTCTCATGATCTTCTGAAACCTTCTAACTGTTTTAGGTTTCCTTTTATATGTTCTCCTGATGTTCTCCTGATGTTCTAAGACCCTCTAACCCGTTTTATTTCTCTCTCCTAGCACTCACAGGTTCCCTGTCAGGCTGCATCATCTCGCCACTGAGTCTGCGTTAGTCGGTCGCCCACCGATCTGAGTCCCCGACCGACCGACTGAGGAGGAGGAGGAAACATGGCCAACAACTCTTTCCGCGGGTCCAAACACGGTCGCCATGGCGACGCCAACCACGACCCGGAGTTCAGCTGCTCCCTCCAGGAGCTGCGGTCGCTCATGGAGCTGCGGGGAACCGAGGCCATCGCCCGGATCCAGGAGAGTTACGGAGACGTGAACGGGCTCTGCGTCCGACTCAGAACCTCACCGGCACAAGGTTGGTTCTGTTTTAAAACTGTCAGGGATACAGCGGGGGGGATAAGTGTTTGAGCCCTTGCTGATTTTGCAGGTTTGCCCGATTACAAAGAATGCTTATTTTTCCTCATCAGATGGTTATCAATTTTTATAAATTCATATGATGTGATTTTCTGGAATTTTCTTTGGGATTCTGTCTTTCACTGTTAGAATGTACATATGATTAAAGTTATAGATCGTTGCATTCTTTGTAAGTGGGCAAACCTGCAAAATCAGCAAGGGGTCAAATACTTATTTCCCCCACTGTACATCCATATGTGGTTATACATCCATACAGTGGGGGAAATAAGTGTTTGAACCCTTGCTGATTTAGCAGGTTTTTGCCCACTTACAAAGAATGCTTATTTTTCTTCATCAGATGGTTATCAATTTTTATAAATTCATGTGATGTGATTTTCTGGAATTTTCTTTGGGATTTTGTCTTTCACTGTTAGAATGTACATATGATTAAAGTTATAGATCGTTGCATTCTTTGTAAGTGGGCAAACCTGCAAAATCAGCAAGGGCTCAAATACTTATTTCCCCCGCTGTATGCCCCTAAACACTTCTGAATTCGCTAATGTAAGAGGACAAAAATAGACACAGACACAGTCAATTCAGTGAAAAACGGCTGAAAGACCTTACAATCTCCAACCTACTCTGAGGTCTCATTTATTTGGTTCCACTCTATCACAGATTTGTGACATCATCTCCTCCACAGACAGTAGGGATACACACGTTTGATTGGACATTGGTTTTAATCACAGGATGCACTGATTGAACAGGAAGACAGTGGGTGGGATTTGAGGGAGGACTCAGGCGCGGAGATGACGGAAAAACAGGGTTCATTGTAACAAAAAGGTGGAAGTCCAGACAAAGTACAAAAACACGGCTGTGGCAAAACTATGACTATGACAAAGTAACAAAATAAAGATTAACAAGACAGTGACAAAACATGGCTATGGCAAAGTAACAAAATAAAGATTAACAAGACAGTGACAAAACATGGCTATGGCAAAGTAACAAAATAAAGATTAACAAGACTGAGGCAAAACATGGCTATGGCAAAGTAACAAAATAAAGATTAACAAGACTGAGGCAAAACATGGCTATGGCAAAAATCAAACCTGACGAGGGGAGACGAAAGACGAGGGACGAGAGACGCAACAAAAAGGACGAAAGGACGAAAACGAACTGGCACAGGACATGGGAAACGAGGACCATTTAAACACATGAGGGAGGGGAACCCCAGGTGAACACAATAGGTAATCAAGACATGACAACACACCAGACATTCCCCCAGACGTGACAGAAGGTGGGTCTTGATGGAGGACTCAGGCGCGGAGCTTCAGAAAACAGGGTTTATTGTAAGAAAAAACAGGTTCAAAAACAGGGCTGTGGCAAAACTATGAGCAAAGTAACAAAGCAAGGTTAACAAAACTGTGGCAAAGTATCAAAACAAGACTGTGGCAAAAGTACAAACGAGATTAACATGGCTGTGGTCAAAACAAGGCTATGGCAAAGTAATAAAATAAAGATTAACAAAACTGTGGCTAGGCTGTGGCAAAACATGGCTATGGGAAATAATCAAAACCTTACATGACGTGGGGAAACGAGGACTATTTAAACACATGAGGGAGGGGAACCCCAGGTGAACACAATAGGTAATCAACACATGACAACACACCAGACATTCCCCCAGACGTGACAGAACAAAGTCCAGTTGTTCCTCTGTTTCAGCTTTAAAAAAGGAGTGTTGTCTCAAGGGTCAATACTGTGGTCAGCAGACACCATTATATGCAAAACAGATTGTGCTTATGACATACCCTTCTTGCTAACACACAGTTAACCCAATTACATACACACTCACATATGTAATTCAGAGAATGCATGATAACTTACAGTGGGGGAAATAAGTATTTGACCCCTTGCTGATTTTGCAGGTTTGCCCACTTACAAAGAATGCTTATTTTCCTCATCAGATGGTTATCAATTTTTATAAATTCATATGATGTGATTTTCTGGAATTTTCTTTGGGATTCTGTCTTTCACTGTTAGAATGTACATATGATTAAAGTTATAGATCGTTGCATTCTATGTAAGTGGGTTATGGCTCTTTGGAGGTTCCTAGTAGGAACTTGACAGATATAGTGATGAAACTTCACAAAAACTCTTCTTCTAAACAATGAATATCAACGTTGTTAAATGACATTTTCTTAATTACTTCGATATGAAAAGGTTAATATTTACATACTAAAACACCAATATATCCATGCCTTAATTAAAAGTCCTTATTTGAAATTAAATAATTCAAAACTATCTATTAAATTTCCTTTCTTTGAACTAACAAATGGTCAGGTGAGCCGTAGAAAATCATCCTATTTCACCTAATTGGTCTAAAAAAATGTTTTGATAAGGAATTAATTATCTGCAAATAATATTCCATTTCTGAGTGTGTGTGCTGTTCTAGTGACTGGTGGAGTAATCATGTAATGATTCCTTATGACTAGATTCTGTATATAATTTTGTATATTGAAGTGGACATGTTCAGAGCAATTTAAACACGAGTGGAAAAAATGAATCATTACTCAGACGTTAGCATACATTCTCATGCTACCCTGTTGTGGATTATTCTCCTCCTGGACATAATTAAACCATCAGAGGACGCAGTAGGTTAATTCTGTTCTTTATTTTAAAGCTCGAGGTGGTCAAAACCAAAACTATGACCTCTGACCACAGGAGCAAAGCATTCTGGGACTCAGAAATAAAGATAGGAGGTTTATAGCAAGGACAAAAACAACTTTTTTGGTAGATGTTTAGCCTTATAATGCCAAATGTGTCATATTATGTCAAATTGATATGTTTAGGCATCGAAAGCTACACCTGATAACAGGGGGCAGAAGACTAGACAAAAAATAATCTTGACTTATCGCATAGTAATAAATTATTAATATTAAAAATGTATTTCTGTTTTTTCTTTTAACATATTTTGTTAAAAGGCCAAATAAGGAATTCAAACCAAAAAAAAGTCATTTTCTGTGTATTGTTTTATTCTTGGATCAGGCTTTGAAGGGTTAACAAGGTAAATCCTTAACGAGTTTAATCATTAACGAGTTGAATTCTTAACGAGTTGAATCATTAACAAGTTGAATCCTTAACGAGTTGAGTCCTTAACGAGTCTTTAACGAGTCCTTAACGAGAACTCCTCTAACTGGACTATGATCAGTCCACGGTGCTCCATGTGGGAACACAGGTTTTTATTTTTGAGTAAAAGGGTTCTGGCCTCAGGTCACTGAGTTCCCACTGAGTCTCTGGGTAATTTTGCCTTAATGTCGAACGCTAAAATTAACCCTGTAATGCCAAATGTGTCATATCTGATACGGTTTCTGAAATGTTTTGTGTCTGACACCTTTTGCATAATTTAATGGTAAAAACTTTGCTCAAAATCCTATTGAACACAATCAGATACACCTGATAACAGGGGGCAGAAGATACACAAAAATAATCTGGACTTATCGCATAGTGATAAATTATTAATATTAAAAATGTATTTCTGTTTTTTCTTTTTACATATTTTGTTAAAAGGCCAAATAAGGAATTCAAACCAAAAAAATTTCACTTTCTGTTTTTTTTAAATTCTTGGATCAGGCTTGAAAGGGTTAACGAGTTGAGTCCTTAACGAGTTGTATCATTAACAAGTTGAATCCTTAACGAGTCCTTAACGAGTTGAGTCCTTAACGAGTTGAATCCTTAACGAGTCCTTAACGAGTTGAGTCCTTAACGAGTTGAATCCTTAACTAGTCCTTAACGAGGACTCCTGTAACTGGACTATGATCAGTCCAGGTTGCTCCATGTGGGAACACAGGTTTTTATTTTTGAGTAAAAGGGTTCTGGCCTCAGGTCCCTGAGTTCCCACTGAGTCAGAGGGGAGTTTTGCCTTAATGTCAAACGCTAAAATTAACCCTGTAAAGCCAAATGTGTCATATCTGATACGGTTTCTGAAATGTTTTGTGTCTGACACCTTTTACACAAAACTTAGACAGAACTTAGACAGAACTTTATTGATCCCTTGTGAAGACTCCCTCAGGAAATGAAGGTTTTTTATTTATTTATTTTTTTTTTTTTTTGACTTAGACAGAACTTTATTGAATAATCACTCGATCAGGCTTTAAAGGGCTAACGAGTTGAATCCTTAACGAGTTGAATCCTTAACGAGTTGAATCCTTAACGAGTTGAATCCTTAACGAGTCCTTAACGAGTCCTTAACGAGTCCTTAACGAGTCCTTAACGAGAACTCCTCTAACTTCCTTAGGGAGTCTTCCCAAGGGATCAATAAAGTACTGTCTAAGTTTTTCCTTAATGTCGAAGGCTGAATTTAAGCCTGTAACCTGACGGTGGTTTTAATGTTCGGCCTCAGAGTTTTCTCTGTTTCTCAGTGGCCCGTTTCTCACCCGTCTGCCCTTTGACATTCTCCCCTCATCTCTAATTCATCCGCTGTGTCCACGGTAAACACCTCTGGAGGAGGAAAATGTCAGGAGCAGCTTGAAATCGCAGGAAAATCCATTCTGCTGCGTTCCCTCTCTGCGTGTCTCTGAGGTGACGTAACTTTAACATAATCCCGCTCACCTGAAAGCAGAGAAAACTGCCTCTGCTTCTCTCTCTGAGCTTCGTTTTTAACTGTATAATGACAAATGTGTCATATCTGATACGGTTTCTGAAGTTAGAGCTGTTTTTGGGGCTTTTAAGGCTATTTTTGTGCTTTTAAAGCTGTTCTTTAGAGCTTTTAAAGCTGTTTTTTGTGCTTTTAAAACAGTTTTTTTGTGATTTTAAAGCTGTTTTGGGGCTCTTATCCCTATAAAGCCAAATGTATCATATTTGATCCGGTTTTTTAAGTTAAAGCTTCTTTTTAGGGCTTTTAATGCTGTTTAATGGGGCTTTTAAAGCTGTTTTTTGGGGGCTTTTAAAACTGTTTTTGGGGGCTTTTAAAGCTATTTTTGGGGGCTTTTAAAGCTGTTTTTGGGGGCTTTTAAAACTGTTTTTTGGGGCTTTTAAAGCTGTTTTGGGGGTCTCAACCCTATAATGTGTCAGGAGGTGGGTCTTGATGGAGGACTCAGGCGTGGAGAAATGTGAAAAAGGCTTATTGTAACAAAAACAGGTTAAAAAACAAGGCTGTGGCAAAAGTAAGAGCAAAGTAACAAAGCAAGGAAGACAAAACTATGAACAAAGTACCAAAGCAATAAAGTTAACAAAACAGTGGCAAAACATGGCTATGGAACAAAGTAAATAAGACAAAAATCAAACCTGGACTGACGTAGGGTGACGAAAGACGGATGAAAACGAACTGGCCCAGGACATGGGAAACGAGGACTATTTAAACACATGAGGGGGGGG